GCATATGCATTGCACTTACTCACTCTCTCACGCACTGAGAGAGAACAATGGCCCAAGCCCATAGCAGAAAACAGACAGGGAATGTCTAAAAGCTCTCAAGATGAGAGCGGCATGCAAATTGTTCTTTTGACGATATCTTTCCCTAATCACTCTCCACTCTAGCACGACATAGATACAGAGAAACCGTGAAAGACAGAGGGGGCAGAGAGCGAGAGAGAGAGAAAGAAAGAAAGAGTGAGCGGAGTGGAAGGAGAGAATCATATCTTGCCAGAGTTGATTGGAGCGGGCCTTATTAAATCTGTTTATATTCCCTGCTAGGCTCTGTTCTGTCAGAGAGACTTTCAACTCCATGGGATGTTTTCTGAGCATTTTTTTTACACCAAAATGGCTGCCACTAATTAACAGGGACCTGCCGAGTCCCAGTGGCCAATTATATCCCTCTCCTTGTCCCTGCCCACCACCACTTGTGCTGCTCAGCAGTCCACTTCATGTTGGTTTTGAGCACTCTAGCTGTCCCTGCTCTCCCACTGTGGAGCCTGGTGCAGTGAACTCACTGCACGTCCTGCTGACTGGGTACAACACGCAGCCTTCTCTGGGTCTCAGTCTCGAGACGCAGCTTCTTTAACTCATTTGATAAAAAGCTGCTCGTGAAAGACTCACAGCTAGAGCTGGTTCTTATACCTGAAAGAAACGTATATATTTCAGCTGCATGATTTAATGGAATAGAATTATCATCTTGACTCACACCTTTACTTGATCTCATCTATAATGACAATGATTCTGCTGCATTAAAACAAGCCCTCCTACTTTCTATAGAAGCAAGAAGGTGAATGCAACATATGGTAGCGTAGGAAGTTAAACTTTGGTGAAGTTTGACCTGGATATTCAATTTGCGTTAGTGCGTGTGTGACAGGGCCCTAACAGAAAACCGGCAGTTAAATTTAGTGAGTGAGAGAACCGCAGAGAAAAGTTTGTTATGTTATGTTAATGGAAGAGAATCGTGGTTTCACATCTAAGCAAGAAAATCATAATTCAAATGATAGAGAATATGTGATAAGGTGTCCTGTAGAATTTAGAATAAATAGTTGCCGTGTTAAGTTAAAAGTTAAAAGATACCCTGAGGTCATTCTTGAAACTGGCATCTTAAGAATGATGAATCAATGTGGTGATTCATCATTCCTGATTCAATGCTCAACTCGAGCAATGCTGAGGTTGCAGTTACTATGAAGCAAAGTGCATGGGAGGGACCTATTACTAAGAAACATTTTAAAAGGTGCGTGAGTGGTCAATACAGAAGAGAGAGAGAAATTAGAAGCAAGATAGTGGTGAGCAACTTGATGTCTTTGCAAGTAAGCAAAGGTCCAATACAAATGCCTATGGCTGCAGATATGAATGTATAAATGACCACTAACAGCTTGATTGATTTGTAATTGATGTTTTTATAAACTTAAACATTTATATGTACGTCTATATTGAAAAAATACTAGACAGAAGAGTGCAACATTATTATTTATTGTCTTCCTCAAACATCTCAGCAGAACCTCATTGCATTTCCAACTGTCTCAGTCAGCAGCATCACCACCACCACTTATGGATGTAAACACAGTACAATATCAGATCATATCACTTCACGGTGTGTAAAATGGCTGGGCCATCCATTTGGCAGCAGTCGTCTCCTTACCATCTTTGGCTGTGTCAGCAATCCCTTCTCTGCCCAGCCCTGGAGCTGTGGGAGCTCTGCCTGACGCCACTGTGTCTCTGTCGACCCCTATGGAGCGGAGCACAGGGAGGGAGGGACGCACAGCCCACCGTCAGCATCAGACACTCACTTTGCAAGGTTAGGGTTGCAGTGGGATTTAGGGGAATGGAGGGGAAAATGGCGACCCACTAGAAAAAGTACAGCTACACCTTTATACTCGTTCAACCAGTCAAACTAAAACAAAGACGGGTGGCTCTGGATTCCGTTTTTGAGAATAGTGAAAAAATGTATTCTATGGATTTGGATAATGGAATGGAACAAAGATAGGATTGGGTCTGAAAATATTTTTTCTGTATCAGTATTTTCAGTGTGTTTTAAGATCTAAATACTTTAATGGTGGATTGAATAAAACTGTGTGTGTGTCTCGAAGGCAGAAGATTGGTGTGGCGACTGCATGCAATGACCTTGGCAGAGTCTATAATGAGGGTTTCCCCCTTGTAAACAAGCCGGTGGTTGAAGAGACAGAATCGGCACAAATGAGCAGGAAGTCTGTTCAGCGGCTCTCCAGAGCAGGGGGCTTAAACGCCGGCAGCCATCTACGGATGCTGCAAGCAGCCAATTTAGCAGGAGAGGAGGAAGAGAGGAGGGATGACCTCTGCCTTAATTTACTCCTTCAGAGAGATGAAGAGCTGGAGTTAGGGATCAGATGGGTGGAGGAGGAGGAAGAGGCGAGGGCTGAGTAATGGGGAAGACACTTTCAATACTTCAAAGAAATGGAGAGACAGAGGTGGGGGAGGAGAGAGTCGGTACACGCTCTGTTGTCAATGTGTCTTGTAAACTTAGGCAGGAATGCATAATGGAGGTCTAAATGAGAGTGAACTGTCAGCTTGAAGGGGAGAAAAAGAAGATACAGTGGGGCTGAGAGGTCAGGGTAGAAAAGAGGACAAAGGATATTGGTTGTACTGGCAGGTAGGTGAGGATGAATAGTTTCGGGATGATTGTGTAGGAAAATCAAGTTCGGAGCCATCTTTGTTTTAGTCTGGTGTAGACGAAAGTGTCACTGTTGAATAATGACTGTGAGAATCCAAAAAATGTTCTTGTTTGTTTTCATTCACAATCCACTGCACATCAACATTTTCAGGTTTGTAGCTGTTGTAGGTCAACATGCAAGTGTGTCAAAGCACATGAGGTGTATTTATAACCATTTGAAAGAGCTGAGTGGACAGTACCAGGGATAGCTACACCCCTGGGGCTAAGGTGCCCACGCTAGTTGCGATTTGAAGCCACCACATAGAGTAAACATCTCATTGAGAGGGTAGAGGACAACATGCTGTATATAGCCTGTTTGTTAAAAAATGACTTTGAAAAGCTAACCTGAAAAAAGGAAACGTTAGGCAGAGGTGAAACATCAAAGCCATCATTTTACATTTTACTATGTTAGTGCGAAAGTGGATGGCGTGCCGCAGCAAGCAATGACGGGGGCAGTGTCATTGTAGCATGTTCGAATGTGGTGATTGAAATGTAAGAAGCAGCAAGCAGATGCGTATGAGTCTCTATTTTCAGCAAATTTTAGCAGCAGTGCAAGGGAGCATATGTCGGCAAAAGGGAATATTACATTTCTTACAAGTACGTTTAGGTCCCTGCATCCCACTTTTAAAAACACTACTCAGTGCTCAATATTGAATGCTCAACCATTCGCTAAAACAAACACAGTCTCAAACACACACCAAACACACACAGGCAATTTCATCTTCATATTCTCACTGTCCTGGCATTTATCACATGAACACACACGTGCGTCTCCAGATAAAATCTCAAATAACACTGGAATAAGGGTGCAATGCAATTACGTTTGCCAGCCATTGAGATGAAAAACCCGCTCATGGATACAGTTTCAATTATTCAGGGAATATATTTCAGTTGGTGCTCAGATGCTGGGAAAACTTATTATATAATCAATACACTCTATAACGCCATTAATATTTGATGCCGCAAAAGTGCTTCCTGTCTCCTTGGGCTCCCGGCCAGTGGTGTCTGGGTGCTGCAGTCAAACAAGACGAGCCTCACCCGCCTACAGCAAGGAGGGGGGGGGGGGGGGTTACGTTTGTTTTAAGTTGAAAATACCAAAGACACAGACAAGCTTTCTTTTAGATTAATTGTATATAATTAAATTTTACAGGATGAGTTCTGTGGTCTGAGTTACAATTAAGTGAAACCAATGAGGCTTTGTCTTCCTCCCCATGCAGTCCTCTTTCACCTTCATCACTCCTCCACTGTTTTTACACTATGAAACCACCACTTTATATCCCCGTCCGGGCGCAGCCTTCCTTCCTTCTTTCTCGTACAGAGCTTAGACAATCAATTTAGCCTGACTTGGCCGGGATAGATGGAGGCTGAAGGGACTGCGGAGGAGACAGTGTGCTGCAGGATCTCTTCACTGATAGACACACTGCCTGGCAGCTACAAAATGGAGCCAGCGTGCACCCATCTGACTTGTTAGACTTCGCCTCACCAACGCGCTTTAGATATATATTTTTTGTGATTGCATTATGCGTCTTATCTTAATTTGGTGCAGATATACAAAGCCACTAACTAACTAAATTAATTAATGACCTAGTTCTAATTTATTGTTAGATGCAGATACACACACAAAAACACATTTGAATTGATACTGACAGTACGTGCCATATGTTGCCCCACCAGATGCTATTAAACTTGACTAAAACTCCCTTTCAGTCCCCTAAAGTGATATTGAATTGGAGTTCCTATCAAACCGACTGAGACACAAAGAGATTAATACGACTTTACTATCTCAGCTTCTCGGCCAGTCGAGTTCCCTGTAATGCTCTCTGCGCTATTGATTTTTATTTTTCTCTCTCCTCTCCCCTCCCTTCAGTCCTGGCCGTCTCTCTCTCGCACGCCGTCTCTCCACCTCCACCAGCGTCTTCTGAGCTCTGAAACGTCCTGCAGGTCAGACGGCTGCTGGGCCGGATCAATCATGCAAAGTAATCTGGGACGCCTCATGCACGCAAGCACACACGGACGCTCGCCAACACACACAGAGACACACACCCCTCCTCTTTTGCACTCTGGCCCGCCTGCCTCCAGTCTCATCGATCTGCATCTACTTTCCCAAATGGATTCTTCTCTTCTTCTATCCTCCTCCACCTCTTCTCTCTGTGTGACTCGGAATAATAAATGTTCCAGACCCAGAAGACGTGTATGTAAGCATTTTTCATTTAACTTTGGCTTGACTTTTTTTTCCACTCCTCTCTTCTTTCCGTTTTTGTGATGTTTCAGTCTTAAGTGAAATCGATGCAGCTTTCCCACACACTTCCTCACAGCCCCTGGGTAATCGGCACACACTTGTGAGAGGTCAGAGGGCAGGAGTTGACAGGATACGGCCAATTGCCGAAGGGTTTGTCGGACAGGATTTATATAATAATATCAATATTTATATATCACAGACATTTGTAGGATGAGTATGTCTTTTTAGTTGCCTGAAGAATCGTTCATTTGTTTTTGAGAGATTTTGTCACATTTTGCTCTTAAATGTTTAGAACTGAAGCAATGTCACTTTTTCTATTCTTTGTATTCTTTCTCTACAACTGCTTCAATCATCTATTCAAAGGCAATGACACTGACGACCTGCAGCGCTCCACACAGACATGGTTACATTCTGTCTCACACAAGGACGAAACATACGTGCGCACACACACGCACTAAAGCCTCCTTTGCTCGGCCAAACTGTAGGCGGAATTGGAGCCATTTGTCCACTGGCTGAATCCCAACTCTGCACCAACGCATGCAGAAAATTGGTGAGCATCTTGACTCTGGAGATGACACTTCAATTTGTGCAGCTCTAGTGACTGATGCTCTGCAGTTCCTCCCTTGCGGGGGTGTGAGATCAGCTGGACACCTGCCTAGCTGTTTGGCTTCAGCCTGCAGCACCGGGACTGGGCCTTGGAATTGAAGGCCCGGCCTTGCCTGTCAGCCCAAGTCCCTGTCCCTCAGCCCCTGCCCTGGCCTGGCCTCTCAGGTCCTCATCAAAATTCCCGTTGATTCGCTCCTGTGCCAGGAACGGTCCCTCACTCAATGCCCCTGACCCTTATTTCTCTATCAAATCCTCAGCTGTAAATCAACGCAGTGCCACCATCCCAACAGCAGTCTTCCCTCAAACAGCATAAAATCCCCATCAACAGCAGCTCGCCAGCTTTTCTTCCAGTTCTAGCTGCCGCAGCCAGCACCTCATCTTCTAGCTCAGTCAAATCAGCAAGATGTCTGCGCTGCGACTGGCTGTCTGTCCCGCTGTAGCCCCCGGGTGTGATGGATGGCAGCGATCACCGTCGAGGCTCTTAGCAAGGACATTTTGGTGGATTAAAGAGGCTAAATCATTGTCTCATCCCCTACATGGGATCCCAGCCTTAATTAAATGTCATTAATGTGGCTAAAGGTTTCAGCAGAGATGATATCTCTCTAATATGTTGAGGCTTATTCAGGAAGTATTAACCCTGTTTCTGTGGTTGGTGAGCAGAAAAAGAATGAGAATAAGAATAAGATTAAAGGGGTAAAAATAAAGCAGGAGAGACAGGACAGGAAGATCACTGTCGGTCTATAGTAGGCCTACATCACGCCTGTCACTTAACATGACATTAAAGGCTGATTCTTCCCAATAGGGTTTTTGTTTTTCTCTCGCTCTGTCTTCCTTTCTTTCATAACACAAATATCACGCTTGCCACGACTATGTTAAGATCTAACCTGGTTACATTAACTTGCTGCGACTGTTCTCTGAATAAATAAAAGTGACACTGCAAGAGTGTCTAAAGCACTGCATTGACAAAAACCTGCACTACTCTGGGTTGCATTTTCAGGAGGAATGGCTTCTGTGCAGTGCTCGTTTCCGAAGCCGAAGTAGCTTCTAGCCGGGGCTGGTGGGACAGAGGATAGAGAGGACGCAGAAACAAGACAGTAAGGTAAGCAGAGCAGGCAGCCCTGATCCATCTGAGTCAGCACCATGTGCCATGAGCGAGGACTCCACCTCCACATGTAGCTGGCAGGTGAACGCGACC